GTTTACGACGTTTAGCAGCAAAATGATATTTTACCAGATCACTCCCCTGAACCTAATACTGCTGTTTAAAATTACTTATATATAATAAAAATGTTCAAAACGAGGACGACTTACCATTGTAAGTATTCAGGCTGCAATCTTTTTTCTAATATGGGATCGTTTTGAGTGTTTATTTCAAGAAAGTATTAGAGAACAAATCTGTTTCTTCGAAATTAAAATTTGAATTTTGTTGTTAAATATTGACCAAATTTTAAGGAACTATTTAAAGAAGTTAAGAAATTATATATATGGAATTTTGTATGATCTTTAAACACAATTTAGTACAAGATACAAATAAAGGAGTTTTTATATAGATATAAGAAGATGTGGTATGAGTGCCAACGAGACAACTCTCCATCCAAGTCACAATTTATAAAAGTAAACCATTAGAGGTCAAAGTATGGTCCTCAACACAGCAAGCTATAAAGGGCCCCAAAAATTACTAGTGTAAAACTATTCAAACGGGAATCTTCTTTTATGTTTGTTTTTGTGGAGGATTAGTAGTTTCGTTTGATTTAAATCCAAATTGACGTCTACTTTCTACATACTTTGGAACATATCGGCTGCTAGTGGCAACGTTTTGCTCTTTTAATAAAGTGTTCAAAGAAGGTTGATATACCAGTATAAGCATTTAGATCCCAATCATTTTTCTTTTTCTAAATCGTTTTAATATTGGTTTTGATGTAGCATAAACACATTCACATTCTCCTTTCATCATTTTCATCTTTTTCATTGGTGGGGTTTGTGTTGCTAAGTCTTTCGTTTTCGATGTAGTGTTTTGTAGTCTTGTTTTTCTTTTCGTCGTTTATTTTTTCCCATGGTATTGTCTGCTTTTCTTCGGCTTATGATATTTTTTTGTTCCCTTAGTATCGTCTGGATTGCCCCTTTTTATGACTATAACCAAATGATTGTTATCCTGACGTAACACTTGACTTGAGCTACACGTCCATTCTGTGTAATGTTGTGTGAACTGATGTGTTTTCGTCTATTTTCTTCTTTTAACTATGATGGTGTCTGCTATACCTCGACTTGTTGATTATAATTTCCCTATATGTCTTCGTTAATTTTTCTTATAATTGAACATGCCCATACGCCCTCAGGTATATCACTATTACCAAATAATTCTGCTTTTTTTATATACAAATGCTGTACAATATGAAACTGAAATAAGACGAGAGTTTTGATCGTTTTATAAATGAAATGCGGAAAACAGGATATTAAACTAATAAATTTCAAGATTCTTAAAAGGGAATTGCCATGTGTCATCGTGTGCTCGTATGTTCATTGTTTGATTTAGGAAACCTTACGGTATCTTCTTTTAGTAAGAAAAACACGATGATATTTCAGCTTTTCGAGAGTCTGATTAACAATTGCGTCATATTTCAATATATTAACTTTTTACGAGCATAACGTCAGAATGATTTTGCAATATATTGTAGACTGATCAACACAAACGATTCCAGCGGTTGTATAATTTAATAAGGTAACTTTGTAAAAATATCAGTGTGATGTTGATATATTTGAGGTGTCTCTTATTATTTGTACATAATTGACATCGATTATCTCAAAAGGAGTGCCAGAAAAGTTTTTTTTTATACCTACAGATTTTTAAGATATACAGTTTCAACAATTTGCAATCGTCAACATGCAGAAATCTCAAAACCGGTAATATTTCTCAACAATAATTCAAAATAAAACTGGAAAATGCTTCGAAACACGTATGCACATCATGGAATAAACGTTGCTTGCTTATCTTAAAATAGCGAAATAACTTTATCTAACCTAGGAATTTGCAAACTAGGTATTTACATTTTGGATTGTACAAAATCTTTGAGACAGATTTCATACGTTTCAATTTCGCACATGTACGGGTCTTAAACGACCATTCTATGAGCATTTGGTTATGATTGTAAAGCACTTCCACCTTTAACAGAAGAAATTCCCCTTTTTTTTAAATGCATTGAAACAATGATATTCCGATATACAGTTTACAAAAACACATTTTTTTTTAACCAAAAGCATCAAAGGTTCTAGATGGATTAAAGTTCAACACAACAGAAGCTAAAAATACTAACAAAGTAAAAACCAAATTGATGCCGATCTTATCAGGAAACGTGAGCTAATATTGACCTAATTGGTCTATTAATGCAAAAGTTGAAGAATGTAAAACATCAGAAATACAGTCGTTATCGTCAAATTATGATGGATATATTTGTTGAGGGTAATAATGCTTTAATATGCTGCAACATAACATTGCAGTCAATTCATATAAAATTTAGATAGATGAAAGTCTACAAATTTGAGGACTGCATGTGAACAATGAAGGTTTTATTTTAAATGCCATACATTTTTTTGTGAAATTTTTGTCTAATAACTTATGTCACTTTGAGGAATTATTGTCTTTTATCAAATTCAATTCACTAAAAAATATCTGAATGAGACTTTTTCTTTTTTTCGGGGCCATATGGATTTAGCTTACATATATGTAGCATGTGTCACTAATTTGTATAGTATACTGTATTTCCTCCATGTATAAACATATGTTGATCACAATAAGTGAGAATACACCGGAAATGCACCAACTATGTATACACAAGTCTATATGTTTCAATTGATTGTTTACAATTCTTCGAAATGCATGCATATCTTATTAGAAAAAATTAAGTCATTAACGGGAAATTTAGTTTATAAGGACTGCGCATCTTTTTTTATTAACATATTAGTAAAGGCGATATCTCAATACTAACAGTTGTCTGCCCCTATGGTTATGCTATGATTTGATTTTAAAACATTGGGGGATGTCGCTATATTTTGATGTATACTTCTTAACAATCACCTTTGGCGTACATAATTATACGCATGGTATCGTTGATAAGTTTTTTTTTTATTTCTGTTAGTTACTCCCGTTTTCAGTCAAATTGATACCGTTTATGTAATTTTACTTTTTTTGTAACATAATGGTAATTCTCAACTCGACCGTAATATTTATGCACTTGCAAGTCGAATGTGATCGAAGGTCCAATACATTTCTTTTATAAAAGGTTGTTCGCATATCTTCCTTTTTCATATTAAATGTACAACATCTGACTTCAATATTTTTTGTACATTCCAAAATATAAATCAAAGTGTGTTCTCTCTAGAAAAGACAGGAACAAATTCAATACAATGTTGTTTTCATTGAACACGTGAAGATGGTGTACCGACTTTTATTGTCATTAACCAAATAATACAAATTCCTCAATTAAGCGAACATTTTTTCCTTGTTTTACGATAAGTCGGAGCTTTATTCTATAATGTTTTGATGTGCATACGTGTTTCTAAGCATTCCCAAGTTTCAATGTCAATTATTGTTGAGAAACAATTATCAGTTTTTAGTTTTCTGCATGGAAACAATTGCCGTTTAAAACGATAAGTCGTTTACTTTCTCAGGTTAATATAATGTTTACAGTTATTTAACAAATGTAATTATAACGAAATCATTTTGCGATGAAAACAACCCTAGAGTAATCCTAGATGTTATAAATCCAAATATCTTAGGTTGTGGCAAATAATAATTATCAATTTAGAATCAATGCACATTCGACAATAGAATGAACGAGCTATGATCCATTAGAGATATTTTCTTCAGCTTTTTAACGAACATTACAACACTAACTAAACAAATTCATATTTTAAATGCATTACACGTATCTGAAATAATGAGTCTGCTACGTAAGTAAAATATAGGTTAAGGGGCTTGTTATTGTCCTAAAATATGTATCTTTTTCTTTATTTTGCTGTCTTGTTTACTTTATAACTTTTTTTTATTTGAGCATCACTAATGAGTCTTCTGTAGACGAAACGAGCGTCTGGCGTACAACATTTCAATCCTTAGTTAATTAGTAATTGTATAGTACCGAGGTTTACCATATTTTCATAGGAACCAGCACTTCAAATTTTCCTTCGCCCATGAGTTTTCTAAATTAACAAACGTAAGAATAAAGCATACATTTAACCAAAGAATATGTTTAAGAAGAAATCCAAAATATAGAAACGAATTTTGTCTCATACTGTATAAATAAAAAGATGTGGTATGAGTGCCAATGAAACAACTCTCCATCCAAGTCACAATGTATAAAAAGTTAACAATTAAAGGTCAAAGTACGGCCTTCAACACGGAGCCTTGGCTCACGCCGACCAGCAAGCTATAAAGGGCTCCAAAATTACTAGTGTAAAACAATTCAAACAGGAAAACCAACGGTCTAATCTATATAAAAAAACGAGAAACGAGAAACGAGAAACACTTATGAACCACACCAACAAACGACGACCACTGAACAACAGGCTCCTGACTTATGACAGGTGCATAAAAATACATCGGGTTTTAAAGTTTTATTTGGACTTTGTTTCAATTTGTTAATAAATTTGTACAACTGGGCGATGAGCAAAATAGGTAGATTGATTAAGGGTGCGAGGATAAAATAAAAGACATATAAATTAGTGTGATAGAAGTTTAGAGAGACTACTAATTGTTTCAAGGTTTTTTCATTGGCTTTTCGAAAAGGGTTTTTTTACCCAATCTTTGTCACGTCACTTAAAAGTACAATTTACGAAGGAAAAATGGTTTCGATCACTCGTCCTCTTTCAATCTTCACATTGCATTCATAAATGCAGTGTTGTAGTGTTGAATAAATCAACATTGAAAAACCGCTGTTCTGTAAATATGAATGGTCCCTGTTGCTGGCTTTTGTACACAACATATGTTTAAAGATTGAAATAAAGATGTATATTACCTAGCGTACTTGTTCGGTAATATTCACACAAAATGTAAAAAGACGGTTTTAAGAACTCAAGATCATCTGACATAGTGAGTAAATCTGGTAACTTCAGTAGTCATATAAGTATAACAATAAAATAAGTTCTGATTTGTTTTAGCATTTCTTATGTAATAACAAAAGTTTTTATTTCTACTCTTCTTTCAGATATAAAGACTATGGTCTAGCAGTCCGGCTTCCAATAAATTCATACATTTACAGCGTGTTAAGAATAAACATTAAGGATACAAGGTATATACACACATTTTGATTTCTATCTACTAGTATTACCTTTGAATTAGCAATTATTGTTGTTTCTCTGTTTGGTTATAATTATTTTCCTTCTCGTCAGAATATGGAACCAATATAGAGCCATGTGACTCACTCGCCAGTGTCTTTTTTATATGGCATGATAATCTGACCTTGATACAGTCTAGAATTGCAACCAACTGTACGAATTCCCTTTCCAATAAAACTTATTTTAGAACATAGATAATTTAGAAGTGTGTGCTTAGACACTAGAAAAAAAAACCAATAACATTCTCTCATACAAACTATTTTTTTAATAAACATTATCAACCTGGTATGGCAAAACAATGTTACACACAGTTTTAAATCATAGGATCCTCACTCAGAACTAAAGATTTGACAAAGCAAAATGCACATACGTTACATAAAGGCATACATGTACCATATATAAGGTAATGTTATTCTTCATTAAAAACAAATACGTAGAATTTGAATCTGTGACTTCCATATAGGCAGATAGACAAATCGAACTTATAACACCAAATAAACGTCATTGTAAATATGTAATTAGAATAACATTTGATAAATAACTGTGTTAACAAGTAGAATGTGTATCAATTATCATTTTTAAACAAATTAGGTTTTATTTTTAGACTTCATGTTGTTTTTGTTTTAATCAACTGTTTTTATTAACATAACATGGTGCTGAAGGTCAGTAGATTTTGCTATCGTAGTGTCATGCTGTCGTATGGTGAGACATTAACAGCAAACATAAATGCAATTTTGCATTTAAAACTCCCCGGAGTATTAAAATGACGCCAAATAATGCTACTCAAATTAATTAGCGTCTAATATAGTTCATGTAAAACAAAATTCTTCTTGGTGAATGTCATGTAATTGGTAGGAAGTCATACTCTGGAGACTCGGGAATAACGATCTTGTCATCGGCATGTATTCACAGCTAATTTCGTACAGATGATTATTACTTGCAGACTTGCAATGGGTCTATGTCTAAGTCTTGTCTGAAAAGTTTTTGTTGACTAGTCAATACTTGACATTTATTTGACATGTGAGTGAGATTTATTTTATTATTTATATTTGATATTCAATACCAGCCAAATTCCTTTTTTTTAAATGTTTATAACCTTTTCTTTTAACTGTCCCAGGTCGGGGGCATGTAAACAAGTGATTGTTGTATATTGCTGCATATCAATTTGTTTTTCTTTGTAGTTTTGTACATAAATCAATGGTGATTTTCTCGTATGTTTTGTTTACCATTTGTCATGTCCGGCTTTTTGTAGCTTGCTTTGCGGTGTGGGTTATTCTCGTTGCTGGAGGTCGTGTGGTGTCCTCTGGTTGCTGACTCCTGCTTCGTAGTGGAAAGTTGTCTCATTGGAAATCATACCACATCTATTTTTTTATATTTATTTTTGTTTCATTTAATGTCATTGTGTGAGTATGTACAATGTTGTATTCAAAACTACAAAATATGTATTTTAACGCTCCTATATATTAGCTTTTAGAACATATAAACATATACCAATGATTAATTCAGTTCTCTTTTTACCTGTTATAGAAAAAGAATGTAAGACGTCCATTTAAGAAAACTTAGAAACGTACTTTCATGAATTTACCAACAGTTTACATTGACTTTGAAAATAAGCTTGAATTTTCTTTACTCACGCAAATAGTATTTGAATAAAAGTTTAACAAAATACCTAACTCCAAGGCAAATTCAAAAAGGGGATGTCCAAGAAAACTGACAAAATTAAACGCTATCAATCAACGAAACTAGTGAAAAACAACTACCATATTCCAGACTTAGTACATGTATTTTCCGAAGAAATGGTAGGTTAACCCTGATTTTATAGCTAGCTAAACCTACCATTAGTAGGACAGTTATTAAAAGAATAAAATACAGTTATTTTAAAAAAGAAACTGCAAATAACTAAATTGCTCTATTAAAAAACGTAAGCTATATATACACTTATTTCGAGTATATTCCATTGACGGAATTAAAACGTTTTCACTGATTTTTTTATGGTCACATTTGAAGGCATGCGACGTCACAGAACAAAATGAATGTTTTTGGGTTGGTTTTTTTGGGGTTTTTTGTTGTTGCATAAAGCATACGGTTATTATTTGCACAGTTTGAGTCAGATGTAGGGAAATAACTGCCAGGATCTCTAAATTCCATAATTTTTATACATAGTATGTTGATAAGGAAATATCGTTCACTAATAATACAGTTATACTAACAATAAGACCATCAATCAACAATTGCTGTTACTGGGCACTCCGGCTTCTTCCATTATAAAAACTGACCACCACGAAATAGCACAATAGTGTTGAAAGTGGTGTTTAACATCAATCAGTTAATCAAATTTGTAATTAATATGAGCTGTGCTACAAGTCTGTATGACACGTGATTCTCTTGTAACTTTCATCAGAAACAGGTCAAATAAATAACACATGTAAGGGCGTCAAAATTAAAAATGACCAAGCACTTACCTTACACTGTTACTCATTATATCGAAAGTTTTCATGAGGGAATTCATTTACTGAAAATTAAAAGCCTTACAATGAACTGCAGCAAAGCTTTACTAATGTTACAACGATGTTAATATTAAGGTTAAAATCTGTATATTAAAATTTGTAGGTTCGTCGCAACAATGCTTCTATCGTGATTGATGATTCCTTGGCTAAATCCAAATTTATACATTATTTAGGTTTCTCTTGGTATGCATTTTCTAATTGAAAAAATGTATCTCATCAATCTTAACCACGGGTACATGATCGAAATATATTTTCACACTGACATTCACAGATGTCCCTGGGTAATGCACGCGATGTATACAACGAGGGAGAAAATGGAGAAACACTGAATTAGGTTCATCACTTTTATCTCAAAGTTGTATATAAGAAATGACACTTGAATTTACATCAGATGCAAGATCCAGTAACTTCGGTGTAGAGAAGAGGGCTTGGAGTGTTTTTGTCTTAACATTTAAAACGCCGGGAGGTTTTAGTATTTTCCCCCGATTTTTACTTGATAAGGAAACAAAATCCTGAAAATAATGGGTAACTACATCCAGAATCCTGCATCTAAATCCGTTAAGCATTCTTCTCTTGGTTATATTGGTGCTTCTGCCCCGCGGGATATCAATAATATGTTAGTTACAAAGTAAAATGTTACTGAAGGAAAACTGGTATTGTTTTTATATTCTTAAATGCTATTAACTGATTAATTTGCTGAATATAACAGCCTTATATAGACATCCATTCTGACATATTTTCTTGCTAATTAATACAAAATATAACTAGGTTTTTACATGAATTGGTAAAGTTCATCAGCTTTTATCTTCAAACCGATGAATACTTCATTGTCCAATAGGGACTTGTCATCATCCGTCTCTTTTGTATCCGTCGATGCTTTTGTTATCTAGGACCGTTTCTCATTACCAAACCCTTTTCACATGTGGTCGTTGCTTTTCGTATAGGACAAAATAATAAATCTCAATCTGAACTATCCTAAATTCGATTTTACGGTCTTTATTCAGATAAATAATGAAATAGCACCGCCAAATAGTTCATTGGCCACGTCCATTTTTAGTCGTGTATAAATCAGATATATTATCATTCTGTTAATTATCCTTCCGTGAGAATGAACGAGATAGATTGTGACCTTAGTAACATCTGTTGAGGACTGAATAATTGTCTGTTTTTCTGCCTGCATGTTAATGTATTTTCGTAGCTACGTCTTAATTAAGTTGCTTTTGGATTAAAAATAGTTTGTCAACAAAAAACAGGTTTTATTGTGCATCTCGTTTTATGTTTCCTATTCAGACTTTTTATTTACTTTTATTTTTATTGAATCTAATATTTTAAATTTATGAACTATATTGATATACTTCATTTGACAGAGATCTCTTGAATTCTAGCACTTAACTTATTGCAGACTCTTTTGTGTCTTTTGATTGACCTTTTGGAAACATTTTCGTTGTATTCAAAGTTCCATTTAATGATTTTTAAGAAATTACACATGGCTACCTACCAGAGACATGTAAAACCATAACAAAAAGGATAAAAGCTGAAACGAGCCATCAGTTCACTATTTTTTTTAAATATTCTGCATTATATATCAAACTGAATTTACGTATTTTTTTTTAAATAAGCAGCTAACATTGCCAAGTCCAAAAAATGATTTTATATTCAACAGTTGCAAATTAATTACCCTATTGTCCGCGTGGTTTCTCTACAATACTCCAGGGTAGTACTTTAGGATATTGAAGTCATTAGTTCTCATAAACTTTGATGGAAAATATTTTATTTCGTCGCAACTTCACATAGGGACCTTAGGGTCCAATAACGGGTATTACTGTCTGTATGTATTTTAACAAAATTGCTGACAAAATATGTATGTGTACAAAATATCAAGTAGATAATTAGCAGAAATAATCAAAATCTTGATAACAAACCTTAAAGTAATTAAACACCACGAGACGACGGAGAGAAAAAAAGTAGATGTGTGTGCATAATCAAAACAAAGAATTCTCATATCAACCATTTGTCAGGGTTTTTTTTCAAAAATAAAGATCTTTGAGAAATTTTCGTCAATAGAAATGCAGAGTTTTGCACGAAGAAAAATAAAACCTCTTCAAAGACACTAACTAGGCTTATAACTTTAAACGCCAGGCGCGCGTTTCTAAACTATCAGATATTCAAAAAAAGTCGATACACATGCGCACGTACATAAAAAAAACTAAGGTCTGATAAATTCTGTTTTGATAATATTCAATGATATCAGATGCAATGAAAAGGGAACACATATCCAGCCCTGTGAAAATCATTTTTAATATTTAAAAAAGATATATTAAAAAATTGTTAATTAGAGAACAATCAACCAATTCCTAACAATTTGAAAAAAACATTTTGTTGTAGGGTACATGAGGGAGTGTTTAGTTACCTTGGGAGAATGGTTTATCTCAAACATTATTGGCCAT